TTTTTTTTTAAAATCGTTGTCATTTGGAAATGAGATCGCACATAAGTATGAATCGAGATCGCGATTTTCTAACGATTAATCGTGCAGCCCTAATAGATATTTTTTCTGGATCCAGGAACTGACTTTGGTGTGCAAGGAAATTTTCAGGCTTGATGTTGACATGCAGGGTCAAAGTGCTGTCGTTAGATTTTTGACTGAACTGTGTATACACACAGTATAATCATTTTTATTTCCCTCATATATTTTTCTGTCTCTTTGCATTTCCTGTTTTGGTTTAGTGGAAATGTTTCCACCTGTTTTTGTGCACAGGGTGACATTGCATCCGTGCACGCCGGCAGACATCTGTGCAAAAGTCTGCTCACTGCTCTGACGCACTTTCACAGCAACTAGAGCATGTGTCACGCTCTTTGTTCTATACTTTTATTTTGAAAATGTAAACAAGTACTACCACACTCACAGCTCTTGGATGATAATGCTGGGATAAAATTCTGACACTCACCACAACAAGTCTTGTAACCTGAACCCAGACCTTTGTGTGAATACCAAAAAACCTCGAGGCTTTTTTTCTCCTCCCCGTTGATTCTTTAACTTTGATGGTTTTTTCCAACCGACGCTTGTCGCCGCAGGCTAAAAAACACTTTTTTTGACAGGATTCAGCATCACTCATCCCATCACATGAGATTCCCGTGAGTTCTCCGGCTGAACAGCTGTCACATTAAAAACAAAAACCCATATACGTATCCCCCTAAAATGTTGTCATGAGTAAGAAAAGATCAAGCACCAGCACGGCCCCGGCTCTGTCAAATTGTAATGTATTATTACAGAGGAGGTAGACTTTCATCTAAAAATAACACAGCCACGGCAGTATCTTAACATCAAGGCTGTTTAAGGCCAGACTCAAGCTGGAGGTTGTTCACACAACTTGGCTACAGCAGCGGGTTTCTCTCGACCTCACTGGTTGCTGCTTATTTCCTCATCACTCCTGTTATCTTCATTAGCAAACGTGGATCAAATAAAAGTCTTTGTATTTAAGAGATTAGAAATACAAAGGTATGAAATCAAAATGTTACTTTCGTACTATGAAAATATGTCAAAATTATGGTATTTTTAAATATTTAAACATCACTGTTATACAATCCTTTTTGACTCATTTTTCAGGCAGTTACGGCTACAATGTCAGCCTGGTATACAAATGTAGGAGAAAGGAGACCTGTCTTAGTTTTCTCTTGTGACTTATCAGAAAACAGATCAAACATCCAGGGTACCAGTGCTTATTTCTGTCACTCTGCATCATCGACATTAAATTAGTGCAGTTGTTGTTTATTTAGTTCAGGGTGGTGGGTGTGCCTGAGCCTTTCCCAGCTGTCGTAGGGCGAGAGGTGGAGTGGATCCAGCACAGAGCTCCATTCATATCTTGAGTTAAACATGCAGCCGTGCTAATGGAAATCTGCTATTTTCCATAATATTGATATGTCCCACGCTGGTTATAGTAAAAGATCCTGCTAAACAAAAATGTGATTGTAGCATTTGGAGTTAGTGTAAACATATTTTTTCACGCTGATATGCCCTGTACTTATGAGCTTATGAAGGATCAAAAACACGAGGGAGAATAGGAGGAAGGTACTTTCGGTTGCTCCCTGGATGTTTGATTTGGCAGTGCTGGGTGCTTTCTCTCTCACGCGACCACTCATGTGTATCTGGGCTTGGGACTGGACAAATTTCACCTCCATTCTTATGTATTTTGGGTCTTTAACTCTGAAAATACCATGAAGGTAAAAAGCTAAAGTTGCAAGCTGGCTCCTAGAGACTCCAAGTCGTCACCCTTGCTTGTGAAATCTCATTTTCTTTCTTGAAGCTGAGCATTTTCCATCTCTGCCTTGGGTTTTAGAAATCAGATGTCACAGTTGACAGGCAGAAAAAGTGAGGATGCCACACACTCATGCAGTCTGTATCAGGGTTTTAATAGTTTTGCAATTTTCATTAGTTTTTATTTTTATTTAGTTTTGACTTCAGATTTTCAATTTTATATCAGTTTTAATT